AAGTAGGAACCAAAGAAGAGAAATCCATTGCTACTTGTAAAAGCAAAAGAGAATAAAATCATAGCATTTGCAGGTAAATGGATGGCGTTGGAGAAGGTAATGATAAGTGAAGTTAGCCAATCTCCAAAAACCAAATGCCTAATGTTTTCTCTGCTATAAGGAGGCAGATTCATAGTGGGGTAGGGATGGGGTGCCTGGGAGGAACAGACGAACTCTAGATAGGGCAGAGGGGTGGGAGAGGAAGGGTAAGGGCATGGGGTTAGAAATGATGGTGGAATGTGATGGACATCATTATCCAAAGTACATGTATGAAGACACGAATTGGTGTGAATATACTTTGTATACAACTAGAGATATGAAAACTTTGTGCTCTATATGTGTAATATGAATTGTAATGCATTCTGCTGTTATATATATATAAAACACCCACATTAGTAACCATGAAAATATGGGTGACCAGGACTCACTGGTTTGGGTAATTATACTAGAGATTAAGGAGAACTTAATCTTGAAAAAAGAATTTTAAAAAATTAGTGTAATGAGAGCTAAGATAAAAGGTTCTTCTTTGATTTTCACCCATCAGTTTGTTCCTGAACTGGAGACATGGTCTCAGGAACGGTGTGCATAAAAGAATAAGCCATCGTCCCATCCTGAAAACGGTCAGACATGTGCTGTAAGAGGACAGTAGAAACTTGTACAAGGAACAGTGGGTGGGACCTGGGGGAGGGTGATCAATTTGACCATGAGAGACAAAGGGCTCCACAGAGCATCAGAGTTTGTGACCACATTTCCAAAAGGTTTCACATTTCAGACTTTTAAGAATTATTTTCATCTTGTAAGTTTGGGCCCTATTGTTTTTCTTTTGAGGTATTCTTCATTTCCTGAAAAAAAAAAAAAATGATAACAGCAGCAGTAAAGATCTTTAGAACATTTTAAAGAGATTTATTTCCCCCACTGGGACACGGCCAAGAGGTGTGAGCAAAGGATGTTGTCAGTTTGTTAGAGGATTCTGAAGAAGAGTGCCACAGATGGACGGCTCCCGCCAGCAAAGAAGGGAAGGTGACTGGCCGGTTTTTGGGGTACACAGAGGAAAGACAGAAGAGGAAGAGATTGGCCCAAGCTCTAATAAATATATTTCCTAATATATTCTCTTTTCATCCCATTTTCATATTCTGTCACCTCTTTTCTCATCCTTCCCAGGCATATCCATCCACTTCCCTAGATACCCTCGAAAGATGGCTAATGGTTGTGGGAAGCATCTGCCTAGAAGTTGGTTTAATTGCTCCCTGGGTGACCTCCACTCCTAGGGAAGTGGCCAATATTAGAAGGAAAGTCAGGAGGAACAAATATCTTTTAGATTCAGAAAACGCTATCTCCTAACATTGTGCAAGTATCCTACACATGCTGCTCTGTACCCTGTCTTCTAAGAGTCCTACTAGGCCAAACAACAGAGAAACCTTATAGCTACAAAACATGATTATCTGCAGGAAGCATCCTTGTATGAGAAGTGAGGTCCAGATTTTTTGGGGGTGTAGGAAGTGCTATTCTTGGGGAACTACAGTTGTAGGAAGGTGAATCTGGTTTCCAGGGATACCTCTATGTGAAGTGGGCTTTGATCATTATTTTAGAGTCCAGCTGGCTGAGTCTGATGAATTTTAAGACACTGCCAAAAGCATGAGCAAGTTTCTTTGAATGTGAGTTCTTAGTCTTCGTAAGTTTAAATTGCTATTTTGTCTTTCCTTTTAAAACATTATCTCTTTAGGGTACAGATTCTTAAAACATCTCTATTTTTCATTTTGAAAAAAATTTTGTTTTTTAAATATGTCCAAGTAGCAAATAGGATAGATTTTCTAAATGTTTTAGTGATTCTACATCAACAACAGCCCATCTTTGTTTTACTAGTATCAGACTCATTCATATTTGCCAAAATAGAGAAGTTTGTCTTAAACACTTGGGCTCTGTGATAGGTGGTAGGAAGTGACTTCAGGTTTCCATACTAGAGCTCATTTGGGCGAACAGAAGTTCACTGTTCTGAGAAATAGAGTTGAACACAGATTTTATTCCTAAGGTTCTCTGGTTACATTCACTTCTAAGTTACATTTCCCATTAGTTGTATGTTTTAATGGCTTACATTTCACATTATAATTTCAAAAGCAATCAAATGGAAAATTTGAGCACAAGTAGAATTGCCTACATGCATTTGCTCTGCTAAGGGAGAGATGGCAGAAGTGTCTGCAGACTTGAATTTCTTTGTGGATGTGTCTAAAAATCTCTGCAATGAAACTTCTCAATGTGGTTGTGTTTCTAAATCTACAATTGAGATTAGGGAAATACACATTAAGGGCCTTCCTATCAGTAAGAAAATAGGTAAAAAAAAAAAACAACATTTTTTTCTGAATATTCTGAATTGCTCCTTACCTTAAGACAGGCCTTAAATTTAGCATCCCTCAGTCTTGAAATGATTCAGCTATACGATCAGTGGGGCTACTTATGGAACATGTATGACTGTATTTTATAATGATCCAATCAATATTTCTAAATAAGAGTAAAACATCTAACTCTTTTAGTTGGAGTCCCATATATTTCACAGAATACTGCCCCCTTACCAACCTGGCCTGGATTCTGTATTTATGAAGTGGGCACAAACTATTACTTAACTTGGATTCTCTGTGAGTCTTTCAGCAATAATTCAGAACTTATTGTGGTAGATTATATTTCATTTTTTATATTTTCCATTGTTACATTTTGTTATGGTTTGGATCTTAAGTGTTCTCCAAAGGTCCAAATGGTAAAGGCTTGGTTATCAAATTGTGGCATTATTGGAAGATATTGGAACCTTTAAAAGGTGTGGCCTAGTGGAAGTCAGTTAGGTCATTGGGGGTGTTAGTTTTTTGTCACTATGGCCAACATACCTGACAAGAATAAGTTGAAAGAGGAAAGTTTATTTTGGGCTTATGGTTTCAGAGGTTCAGCTTTTGGTCAGTGGACTCCACTACTCTAGGCCTAAGATGAAGCAGAACATTATGGTAGAAGAATGTGTGCCTAACTCTTGAAAGCCAAGAAGGAGAGAGGGGTGGTTGTGGTGGTGGATGGGGGTGTGAGGTAGGGACAAAGTACAATCCCCAAGGGCATATCCCCAATGACCTACTTTTCTAGCCACATCCCACCTGCCTACAGTTACCACTCAGTAGTCCTTTTAAATTATTAATCCATTAAATGGATTAATCCACCTACTAGTTTATAGCTATCATAATCTAGTCATTTCACCTTTGAACAATCCTTCATTGTCTAATATACGAGCTTTTGGGGGAATACCTCATATTCAAACTATAACAGGGATGTGCCTATGATGGGGATATTGGGACCCCAGCCTCCTCTTCTCTCTCTCTCTCTCTCTCTGCTTCCCAGTCATCATGAGGTGAATAGTATTCCTCTGCCACATCATCCACTATGATGTACTGCATCACCACAGGTCCAAAAGCATTGGGGCCTAGTATGGACCTCTGAAACCAGGAGTAAAAAAAAAATCTTTCCTCTTTATTAATTGACTATCTCAGATATTTTGTCACATTGATAGAAAGGTGATCAATACACAAGTAAAACAAGTAAGTCCCATGTAGTCTTTAATGGCAAGTCTGAGAGCTGCCACATTCTTTTAAGAGGCCAGGACAGAAACGCTGTTGTAGAGACTCCAAGGCCTGGTTCTCTTCTGCTGCTTGTCATGTGGAATCACAGCCCTTTCTACCTGCCTCCCCACTCAGTTACCATAGCAATTAGGCCAGAGCGGAACATCTAGTACTGAAGTCTGCACAGATGAAGCAAGGAGTCTACCAAGCTGGACTGCTCATTTTAAAACTGCTTACTTCAACTTTAGAATATAACCATCATGGTGACAATAATGTATGCTGGTAAAACCAAGCAGGGACAATTCTGTTACTACTCTAGCTTGCAAAGTGACAGCTGGTGAGTAGCATAATGACATTATCCTGACTGGAATATTGCCACTACTAGGGTGAATGCTCCCAAGCATTGACCAGACAAGGAGACTAAACAAAACCTTCTGAATGTCTTAAAATGTGCTAAAAGGTCAGGTTAGCAATTTCCCTTTTTAATATTCAAAACAAGTCATGAAAGTGGAGGTAGTGACGCTCTGTCGAGACTTGGTCACAATGACAAAAAAGCCCTTTTGAAATCTAGGGCCAATAATGTAATTCAGTGGAGTTTCCACATTTCAAGAGGCTGTCACGTACGCCTTGGAAAAGAAACCTTAGCTGAATACTTAAGTCCCCACTCTGCCACTAACATGCTGCGAGACACTGGGTAAGTGACAATCTCTTTGTGCTTCAGTTCCTTCATCTGTAAAATGAGAGATCTGGATGAACAGTCTTTAAGATGTCAGCCAGCTCTGAAATTCCCCGATTCTATGAGGGGAAATTATACAATAATGAGGCTGACTTTCAACGGTGGTCTGTGAACAGCATGCACCGTTTTATGGTGCCACATAATTGACCAGTCCATTTAATGCAAGTCATGGTTACTTTGACTAGAGCTAGTCAAGAAAGTCTTTGCAGTTTCTTTCCCATCTACTCTGGAGTCTTGTCATGACACCTCAGAAACACTGTCTTAGACAATTTGCGAAGAAGAGAGTTAAAAACATCTTCCTACTTCGCGCTTCATTAAATTTCTCCACAGGAATGCCATCATGCCACACTCTCATGAGCGTCCATAGCTGTGAGGTAGCGTGGGATGAGTTAAATAAAGGTCAGCTCATAAAACACAATTGTCCTCACATTCCTATGGCACTATATTACTCTCTAGTCTTTTCTGCAGCCTTTAAAGTTTCTGTCAATCACGTGGAGTCTTTATTGACATAAGCATCTGATGAAGGGAAAAGAGATAGTTAATCTGGAAAAGCATTTTGAGGAAAATAACCAAGGAAAGAACAAATAGAAATGCAAACCAAGCATGTAGAGAGCAAGTGACAGTCAGATGGAGCTTACGGATCAAAGGCTGCAAGCAGGAAGTTGAGCAGGAGGCTGATGGACTGCTCCACATGGATTTGGTGAGTGGTTGGCATCCGTTTGTTAAGCTGGTAAAAAATGGTGGAAAGCACAGCCTCCAGGCGGGCCACATTGAGCTCTATGTTTGGGTCCAGGTTGTTCAGAGCATTTTCCCGCAATGCTTCTATGACATTCCAAATGTCCACCAGGTGCACTACAATTAAAACAGAGTTAACACATTAGCCCAAAGTGCATGGAAAGGAAATACGTTACTTTATATGTCCATCTGCTCTGGTTTCTCTAGGCTCTTCACATGTGTCCCACTGTTGTAGGGGTGGATACAAATAAATGTACATACTGCGTGATCTCTAAGACTGGAGGTACAATATTTTGCAGCAAGCAAATGGTTTACCAAAGACTGCAGTAGATATTTATTTCTAGTCCTCACAGTAACCCCTGAAATCTAGCTATTATCCTCATGTTGTATGCAAAAAGACTGAGTATCAGGGAAGTTGACTGACAGGTGCAATGGTGCAAGGCCAGTCAAGGGCAAAGTTGGCATTCAAATCCAAGTCTATTGATCTAAAGCATTTTCACATACACAGTGACTCTCAAAAAGAAAAGACCAGCATCTACATTCTAGTTGCTGAAGGATAGACAAAGTACATTTGAGTATTTAAAATGTCTTCATTTATTATATATATTTCTAGTAGTATGTAGTTTGAAATAAGAAAACAAAGGAAAGTTAAGGTATGTAGGACAACAAGGGGGAAAAGACAAGTTATTTATGCTGTGCAGCAACAGAATGAAGAGATCACTTGCTAACCTGGTCAAGAACAAGCAGTTTCTCCGTTCCATTGTTGACTAGATAATCTAGCTTGATTCATGGTTACTTTCATTAGGGTATTCAAGAAATCTGTTTCTGTTTCTTCTCATTTGCCCTGAAGTATTTTTATGACATCCCAGAAACCATCACCACCACAAAGACAATGAACATGTATGCCACCTCAAGACTTTCTCTGGGCTCCCCCGTAATCCATTTCTAGCAGGTAGACAACCTCTGATCTGCTTGCTTCTTGTCACAATTTTCCAGAATTTAAAAAAGCTGGAATCATATAGTATGTACTAGTTTTTCATCTGGATGCTTTTACTTAGTGTAACTACTTTGAGATTCATCTGTGTTGCTTCAAATATCAGTAGTTGGCTCCTTTTCATTGCTGAGTGGTTTTTCATTATATGGATTTCTCATTTTTGTTTTGTTTTGTTTTGTAGCAGGGATTGAACTCAGAGGTGCTTAACCACTGAGCCACATCCTAAGGCCTTTTTATTTTTATTTTGAGACAGTGTCTTGCTAAGTTGCTCAGGGTCTTGCTAAGTTACTGAGGCTGGCTTTGAACTTGCGATCTTCCTACCTCAGCCTCCGGAGCCACTGGGATTACAATATATATCACCACTTGATCATGGAGTCACTTATGGATGGACAGTTGAGTGATCCAGTTTTTGGTTGGGATGAATAGAGTTGCTATGACCATGTCCAAGCCTTTTGATAGACACATGCTTCCATTTCTCTTTGTAAATAGTGAGAAATGAGAAGGTGGGGTGGTATAGTAGATATATATTTAATTTTAAAGAAATTTTTAAGTGTTTTCCACAGTAGTTTTACTGGTCCATATTCCCTTAAGCAGTGTATGAGTGTTCCACTCCAGTTCCTCCACATCTTTACCAAGTTTTAGGTTCACTTTTCATTACACTTTTGCATATGAAAATAAATATTTTGTCTTTTCTCAATGAAATGTATTCACATTTCAGTCCTTGAGGAATGTGTAAGCCACATAAGTTTTTTTTCTCCAACAATTCCCTAGTTTTTATCTCCTACCGTTTTGCTCACCGTGATACTATATTTTATTTTATTTTTTTTTTAATTTTTTATTGTTGGTTGTTCAAAACATTACATAGTTCTTGATATATCATATTTCACACTTTGATTCAAGTGGGTTATGAGCTCCCATTTTTACCCCATATACAGATTGCAGAATCACATCAGTTACACATCCATTGATTTACATATTGCCATACTAGTGTCTGTTGTGTTCTGCTGCCTTTCCTATCCTCTACTATCCCCCCTCCCCTCTCCTCCCCTCCCCTCTTCTCTCTCTGCCCCCTCTACTGACATTCATTTGTCCCCCTTGTATTATTTTTCCCTTTCCCCTCACTTCCTCTTGTATGTACTTTTGTATAACTCTGAGGGTCTCCTTCCATTTCCATGAAATTTCCCTTCTCTCTCCCTTTCCCTCCCACCTCTCATCCCTGTTTAATGTTAATCTTCTTCTCATGCTCTTCGACCCTACTCTGTTCTTAGTTACTCTCCTTATATCAAAGAAGACATTTGGCATTTGTTTTTTAGGGATTGGCTAGCTTCACTTAGCATAATCTGCTCTAATGCCATCCATTTCCCTGTAAATTCTATGATTTTGTCATTTTTTAATGCAGAGTAATACTCCATTGTGTATAAATGCCACATTTTTTTAATCCATTCATCTATTGAAGGGCATCTAGGTTGGTTCCACAGTCTTGCTATTGTGAATTGTGCTGCTATGAACATCGATGTAGCAGTGTCCCTGTAGCATGCTCTTTTTAGGTCTTTAGGGAATAGACCGAGAAGGGGAATAGCTGGGTCAAATGGTGGCTCCATTCCCAGCTTTCCAAGAAATCTCCATACTGCTTTCCAAATTGGCTGCACCAATTTGCAGTCCCACCAGCAATGTACAAGTGTACCCTTTTCCCCACATCCTCGCTAGCACTTGTTGTTGTTTGACTTCATAATGGCTGCCAATCTTACTGGAGTGAGATGGTATCTTAGGATGGTTTTGATTTGCATTTCTCTGACTGCTAGAGATGGTGAGCATTTTTTCATGTACTTGTTGATTGATTGTATGTCCTCCTCTGAGAAGTGTCTGTTCAGGTCCTTGGCCCATTTGTTGATTGGGTTGTTTGTTCTCTTATTGTCTAATTTTTTGAGTTCTTTGTATAATCTGGATATTAGGGCTCTATCTGAAGTGTGAGGAGTAAAGATTTGTTCCCAGGATGTAGGCTCTCTATTTACCTCTCTTATTGTTTCTTTTGCTGAGAAAAAACTTTTTAGTTTGAGTAAGTCCCATTTGTTGATTCTAGTTATTAACTTTTGTGCTATGGGTGTCCTATTGAGGAATTTGGAGCCCGACCCCACAGTATGTAGATCATAGCCAACTTTTTCTTCTATCAGACGCCGTGTCTCTGATTTGATATCAAGCTCCTTGATCCATTTTGAATTAACTTTTGTGCATGGTGAGAGAAAGGGATTCAGTTTCATTTTGTTGCATATGGATTTCCAGTTTTCCCAGCACCATTTGTTGAAGATGCTATCCTTCCTCCATTGCATGCTTTTAGCCCCTTTATCAAATGTAAGATAGTTGTAGTTTTGTGGATTGGTTTCTGTGTCCTCTATTCTGTACCATTGGTCCACCCGCCTGTTTTGGTACCAGTACCATGCTGTTTTTGTTACTATTGCTCTGTAGTATAGTTTGAAGTCTGGTATCGCTAAACCGCCTGATTCACACTTCCTGCTTAGCATTGTTTTTGCTATTCTGGGTCTTTTATTTTTCCATATGAATTTCATGATTGCTTTCTCTATTTCTACAAGAAATGCCATTGGGATTTTGATTGGCATTGCATTAAACCTATAGAGAACTTTTGGTAATATCGCCATTTTGATGATGTTAGTTCTGCCTATCCATGAACAGGGTATATTTTTCCATCTTCTAAGATCTTCTTCTATTTCTCTCTTTAGGGTTCTGTAGTTTTCATTGTATAAGTCTTTCACCTCTTTTGTTAGGTTGATTCCCAAGTATTTTATTTTTTTTGAAGATATTGTGAATGGAGTGGTTGTCCTCATTTCCATTTCAGAGGATTTGTCGCTGATATACAGGAATGCCTTTGATTTATGAGTGTTGATTTTATATCCTGCCACTTTGCTGAATTCATTTATTAGCTCTAATAGTTTCTTTGTAGACCCTTTTGGGTCTGCTAGGTATAGAATCATGTCATCAGCAAATAGTGATAATTTAAGTTCTTCTTTTCCTATTTTTATGCCTTTAATTTCTTTCGTCTGTCTAATTGCTCTGGCCAGTGTTTCGAGAACTATGTTGAACAGAAGTGGTGAGAGAGGGCATCCCTGTCTTGTTCCAGATTTTAGAGGGAATGCCTTCAATTTTTCTCCATTCAGAATGATGCTAGCCTGAGGCTTAGCATAGATTGCTTTTACAATATTGAGGTATGTTCCTGTTATCCCTAGTTTTTCTAGAGTTTTGAACATAAAGGGATGCTGTACTTTGTCGAATGCTTTTTCCGCATCTATCGAGATGATCATATGGTTCTTATTTTTAAGTCTATTGATGTGGTGAATAACATTTATTGATTTCCGTATATTGAACCAGCCTTGCATCCCAGGGATGAATCCTACTTGATCATGGTGCACAATTTTTTTGATATGTTTTTGTATCTGATTCGCCAGAATTTTATTGAGGATTTTTGCATCTAGGTTCATTAGAGATATTGGTCTGTAGTTTTCTTTCTTTGAAGTGTCTTTGTCTGGTTTAGGTATCAGGGTGATGTTGGCCTCGTAGAATGAATTTGGAAGTTCTCCCTCTTTTTCTATTTCCTGAAGTAGCTTGAAAAGTATTGGTATTAGTTCCTCTTTAAAGGTTTTGTAAAACTCTGCTGTATACCCATCCGGTCCTGGGCTTTTCTTAGTTGGTAGTCTTTTGATGGTTTCTTCTATTTCCTCAATTGATATTGGTCTGTTTAGGTTGTCTATATCCTCCTGACTCAATCTGGGCAGATCATATGACTTAAGAAATTTATCTATGCCTTCACTATCTTCTAATGTATTGGAGTATAAGGATTCAAAATAATTTTTGATTATCTTCTGTATTTCTGAAGTGTCTGTTGTGATATTGCCTTTTTCATCCCGTATGTTAGTAATTTGAGTTCTCTCTCTTCTTCTCTTTGCTAGCATGGCTAAGGGTCTGTTGATTTTGTTTATTTTTTCAAAAAACCAACTTTTAGTTTTGTCAATTTTTTCAATTGTTTCTTTTGTTTCGATTTCATTAATTTCAGCTCTGATTTTCATTATTTCTTGCCTTCTACTTCTTTTGCTGTTGTTTTTCTCTTCTTTTT